TTCTTTTTAAACGGCGAAACCGTATTCAACCGATTGGTCTCTTCACAGATTGGTTCTTTCTTTCATCGAGGTGAATTTGTATTTTTTTTTTCAAAAAAATTAATTATAATTGGTGAATTACACGCGGAGGATAATCGGGGTAAAGTTTGTTGAAATTCGACGTTCGAGGAGGACACGCGCCTCATTATGAACGCGCGCGAGTTAATTAGAAACAGTGGTGGAGGTAAGTTTCGTGGAAGAGGTAGGACGCGGAAAGATCGATCGAAGAAAGATTCTACGAATTCTTTGTGCGCGGCTTAAAGAATCGCTTTCCTGGAAGTTCGAAGCGACGGTTGAAACTTCCATTTCCCGTTTCCGAGAACTTATGGACCGAGTGTATCTAATATAAGGAGACCGATAATGGACTCTTAGATTTTTCTAATCCATCTGCCGTTGCCCGTTTCCCGCCAACCTCTTCCGTGTATCGAAATGATTTGTGACGGTTGGAAAGTCTCGAAAGAATTGCTCGAAGAGACTTGGAGGAGAAAAAAAAAGAAAAAAAGAAATTTCTTTCTTAGACGATACGTCCAACAATCATCCGACAAATATAAATTAAAATATCCCGCCTAATCTTCTCCCTATCTTTTCCTACATTAATCTTCTAATCCCCTATCAATCAATTACATTTAAAAGTAATTTTTAATTCGATCTCAAATTTATGACGCTCTTCAAAAAAAAAAAAAAATGTCAACATTCGCAACGAGCATTTGCAATAAGTAAACCAAATCCTCCAAAGTACACAATTATAACACGAACGAACGAAAACCAAATAATAGAAGGCAAACAAGAAGAAGAAGAAGAAGAAGAAGAAGAAGAAGGAAAAGAATATTTAAAATCCTCCAACCACGAACAGCGACGAATATCGACGCCGGGATCCCTCGCGTTATCCGTGCACTTTTCGCCTCGTGAAATTGGTCCCGTTGAAGGCGGGCGAAACTGCTGCTGCTGCTCCCCCGGCCCTCGCTTCTATTACAGGTTCGTGCGCGCGAGCCGAGGCTTTCCCGTTTTTCCCGGGCGAAAAATACGGGCGTTCCGGTTCCGCTACGCGACGGAAATGTCTGCATTACCGCGCGCTTTCTCCGCAATTTCCTCGCGGGCCGCCATGAGCCGCTTGGGGCCACGGCGAAGGGAAAGGACCGTGTTTACGTCCAGATTTATATCGCAACGCGCCTCGATAACAAAATACTAGGCTACCTTTCTATATTTTGAGTGTTTATCGAAAATTAATTAATCGGTTAAGGGAAATCGATTTTTTTCTTGATTCTTCGAGTTTGGAGGGGGGCTATCCCTTTTTCGAGTCTTAATTCGAGAATTGGCAGTTATTTTGTGAGAAATATATGAAATGAATTGAACAGTCGTTTTTACCTCTTTTTTGAGTTTTAATTCGAGAATTCGCAGTTATTCGAGGAATATATGAGACGATGGTTTAAAGATTGTAGAAAACAAAGTATAAAAATTGGTATATATGTCGAGTTCATTTTAATACCAAAATGGCTACTTCTTTTTTGAGTCTTAATTCGAGAATTCGCAGTTATTCGAGGAATATATGAGACGATGGTTAAAGATTAGTAGTATAAAAATTGGTATATATATCGAATTCATTTTGATATCAAAATGGCTACGTCTTTTTTGAGTCTTAATTCGAGAATTCGCAGTTATTCGAGGATATGAGACGATGGTTTAAAGAATCGATTATAGAAATCAAAACAAAGTATAAAAGTTGGTATATATGTCGAGTTCATTTTAATACCAAAATGGCTACCTCTTTTTTGAATCTTAATTCGAGAATTCGCAGTTATTCGAGGAATATATGAGACGATGGTTAAAGATTGTAGAATCAAAGTATAAAAATTGGTATATATATCAAATTCATTTTGATATCAAAATGGCTACCTCTTTTTTGAGTCTTAATTCGAGAATTGGCAGTTATTCGAGGAATATATGAGATAATGGTTTAAAGAGTCGATTGTAGAAATCAAAGCATAAAATTTGGTATATATGTCGAATTCATTTTGATACCAAAATGGCTACCTCTTTTTTGAGTTTCTATCTTAATTCGAGAATTCGTAGTTATTTTGTAAGAAATATATGAGGAATATGGTTTAAACAATCGATTTTAAAAATCAAAGTATAAAAATTGATATACGTCGAATTCATTTTGATACCAAAATGGCTACCTCTTTTTGAGTTTTAATTCGAGAATTGGCAGCTATTTTGTGAGGATTATATGAGATATATAATTCGATTTTGGAAATTAATGCAAAGTATATACGTCGAATTCATTTTGATATCAAAATGGCTACCTTTTTTTTGAGTCTTAATTCTAGAATTCGCAGTTATTCGAGGAATGTATGAGACAATGGTTTAAAGAGTCGATTGTAGAAATCAAAGTAAAGTATAAAAATTGGTATATACGTCGAATTCATTTTGATACCAAAATGGCTACCTCTTTTTTGAGTTTTAATTCGAGAATTGGCAGCTATTTTGTGAGGATTATATGAGATATGTAATTCGATTTTGGAAATTAATGCAAAGTATATACGTCGAATTCATTTTGATATCAAAATGGCTACCTCTTTTTTGAGTTTTTATCTTAATTCGAGAATTCGTAGTTATTTTGTTTGATTGAAATGGATATATTATACTTAAGAGATTACACAGATTACTGAGATTATACATCGTGGAATCTGCTTCGATACCAAAATGGCTATCTTTTTGTTGAGTTTTTTAGAAATTTTGAGAAAGATTGAAGGAAAGTGATTTTTTGATTCAAATTGGAAATATCTAATTGAAATAGATATTTTACTTGAATATACACGGAAGAGTCGATTTTAAAAGTGAAAGCAAAATATAAAAATATCAGTTGCTCAGTCATTACGAGTAATTAGATGAATAGCTATATCAATTTTATACTTGTTCTAATCTTTAAAAATCGATGCTTTGAAAATAGAAACGTATTAATATTCTCTTATTGTATCTTTCTCGATTCAAATCAATGCCATACGTACTTCTTCACTTGGAACGATAGAAAAAAAGATGAAATATATTTTAAATATTTCTACGAATTTCCACGAAATTCGAATCAAAATAAAAATTTTCCTTCAAAAACTTTCGTCAGAGTTTTTAATCGAACTACAATAACAATAAACCAAAAAAAAAAAAAAAAAAAAAACAAACACCCACCAAAGAAGAAGAAAGATCAATCTTCGATTCATCGCGAGAAACCATTTCCTACCCGCGAATTCAACGCCATATCTCGTTGCAGAGATCCGTCCTAGCAAAAGAGGGGAAGACGAAGGGAGAAAGAGAAAGAGAGAGAGAGAGAGGAGTCCGTGGAAACTGGAAGAACGAGCGTGTATCCCCATTAGAGGGATAATACCTATTATCGATTTTGAAACGAAACGCGGGTTATCCCCCCCGATTCAAATCGTGACAAATGCGATGCCGTGTGCCGTGTGCCGCACCCTGGAAAAACTTTTTCCACCCCTTTCCCCCCCACTCCTTCCCCATGTAACTCGCGTGTTACAGAAAATCCTGGTTTCAGGATCCAGGTTGATTTCCTGTCCCTCCTCGTTCGATCCTCGCGGTGAATGAATTTATTTTATTTTAAATCCACGATTCATTCGCGCGCTTTGCAATCGTTTGAAAAGAGAAATTCATGAGACATGTAGGGAGACTTCCTTCGTAATATCTGAAATTATTTGTCAAATTTTATCAGAAGAATATCATTCTTCAGTGTGATCATTTCTAGCAGAGGAAAAATTTTTGATTCCAAATGTGATGTTGTTTTTTATATTATATATTTAGAAAATCTTTTAGAATATCTTTAGAATATCTTAGAATATTTAGAAAAAGAATTTCACACGAGTTAATTTAGAGTTTTCGTTTCTTTATCTTAAAGTAATCCACAAATCTATTCATAGCAAAAGTCTGGTGAAATCATTTCGAAGCTAAGAAATTCGCGGAAAATCAGTTCAGCGATCGACTCGGCCAAAGATCCAAAGAGAAGCAGAAAAAAATCTCTTTCCCTCCTCCCCTCTGACGGGACAAGAAACGAATCCAACGATCGTTCTCTCTTTTCTCGTTTCAGCAGCAAAAATTCGTGAAGAGGAGTTGTAAAGATAAGCAAAATATTAGAATATAAAATACTTCGATTCATGCCTGAAATCATTTCGAGTTAGCTAAGAAATTCGAAAAATTAGTCCTTCCTTCTGACGGGACAAGAAACGAATCCAACGATCGTTCTCTCTTTTCTCGTTTCAGCAGCAAAAATTCGTAAAGAAGACGGTCGAAGAGTTGTAAAGATAAGCAAAATATTATTACAAAAATATTAGAATATAAAATATTTTGATTCGTGCCTGAAATCATTTCGAGTTAGCTAAGAAATTCGAAAAATTAGTTCAGCGATCCAAAGAGAAGCAAAAAAAAATTTCCTTCCTTCCTCCCCTCTGACGGGACAAGAAACGAATCCAACGATCGTTCTCTCTTTTCTCGTTTCAGTAGCAAAAATTCGTAAAGAAGACGGTCGAAGAGTTGTAAAGATAAGCAAAATATTATTACAAAAATATTAGAATATAATATACTTCGATTCGTGCCTGAAATCATTTCGAGTTAGCTAAGAAATTCGAAAAATTAGTTCAGCGATCCAAAGAGAAGCAGAAAAAATCTCCTTCCCTCCTGACGGGACAAGAAACGAATCCAACGATCGTTCTCTCTTTTCTCGTTTCAGCAGCAAAAATTCGTGAAAAGGAGTTGAAAAGATACGCAAAATATTAGAATATAAAATACTTCGATTCGTGCCTGAAATCATTCTGTGTTAGCTAAGAAATTCGAAAAATTAGTTCAGCGATCGATTCGACCAAAGATCCAAAGAGAAGCAAAAAAAAATTTCCTTCCTTCCTTCCTTCTGAATACGGGACAAGAAACGAATCCAACGATCGTTCTCTCTTTTCTCGTTTCAGCAGCAAAAATTCGTGAAGAGGACGGCCGAGGAGTTGGAGCCAGCCGGCGGTGGTAGCGGAGACGGTGGCTTCGGCGAGCCCCCCGTGAAGCTGCAATGCACGCAGGCACAGCATCAGCACCAGCAGGGGCCGGGGGCCGGCGGCGGGGGCGGACCCCACCACGGGCACGGCCAGCACCCGGCCGGGAACGGAGCGAGCACGACCGGGCCCGCGCACGGCGCGGGCGGGGGCGGTGGGAACGGCGCCGGTAACGAGGGATTGACCAAGTTCTCGGTGGAGATAGTGCAACAACTCGAGTTCACCACCTCGGCGGCCAACTCGCAGGCCCAACAGATCTCCACCAACGTGACAGTGAAGGCGCTCACCAACGCCTCGGTGAAGAGCGACCTGTTGAACGCGTCCTCGTCCCCGAAGTCGGGGCCCGACACCGGCCCCGCCTCGGCCGGCTCGAGGCCAGGCCCGCCGGGCAACCCGGGCGGCGGGAACGGGCCCGGGCCGGGCGGCGCTGGGCCAGGCGGTGGGCCCGCCGCCCCCGGGGGGATCGGCTGCGTGGACATAGGGAACCTGGTCGAGTGCAAGCAGGAGCCCGACAACGAGTTCGTCGATCTGGAGCAGTGCGCCGCCGCCCTGGAGAAGGACGCAGCGGCGAACGGGGCCGGTTTCCCGGGCTTCTCCGACTTCATGGGGGACGACACCGGCGACGAGATCATCACCTCGGACGCGTTCAAGGATCTCATCTCCGAGATATCCGACCTGCACCCCGAGTTCATGAAGGATTTCGACTTCGAGGAGAAGATCCCCGTCGAGGCGTTGGCGGCGAGCAACGCGGCCGTGGCGGCGGCCGCGGCCGCCGCCGCCGCTGTCGCCAACACGAACGCCAACAGCGGCGGGGCCGGCGCCAACAACGGGATAGGGACGAACAACGGCCAGATCAAGATCGAGGACGACAAGGACGGGATACACCAGCAGCAGCAACCTCAGCAGCAACCTCAGCAGCAACCTCAGCAACAACCTCAGCAACACGGGGGCGTGAACAACGGGAACGGCGTGGTGAACAACGGCCAGACGGGCGCCGCGAACAACGGGACGGCCAACGTCCCCGCCAATTCCAGCCCGGGCGCCCTCGCCTCCGCCCAATACTCCCCCGCCAGGCTGCCCTACTCCGGCCTCGACTTCAAGTCGGAGATGAGCCCCGCCGCTCAAACGTTGAAGCAGATGGCCGAGCAACATCAGCACAAGAGCCAGCAGTTGGGCCTGGGCGGCTTCAATCCGGGGGCGGCGGCCGCCGCCGCCGCGGCCAGAGGGCCCACCGCCCGTTCCCCTTACGCCGAGTTCCCCCAGTTCGGCGGCACTTCAGACTACCTGGGCAGCCCCGGGAGCGGCGCCGGCCCCGGGCCGGGCGGACAGGGCCAGGGGGCCGCCGGGACGGGGTCGTATCACAAGAACAACGGGACGGCCGGGTTCCAGGGGCAGCAGGCGAACGACATGTTCGTAGGATCTCAAACGCAGTTCGCCGCCGGCCTGGCGGACATGAAGAGACCGCAGCCGAGCAGCGGTGGGAAGCCGAGCATGCTCGGGCCGAGCGCCGGTTACAAGCAGCAGTATTCGCCGTACGGTAGCCCGGGATCGATGCCGAATCACGGCAGCCCTGGTTATCCGCTTCCGCCTAGGGGATCCCAGGGCGGCGGACCCAATCAGACCGGATCCCAGGGATCCTTCACCAGCTCCACGCCGCCGAGGCCTCCCTCGGGACCCGGCACATCCACTTTGCAAATCAACCAGGCGCAGCAGTTACATATTAACAATCCCGGCCATCAGATTCAGGTTAGTGGATCGCCCGCTTTTCCTTTCTTTCTTTCGCTCTTGTGTACTGGAGTGGAGTTGCTCGATTTTCTTCGATTTTACTCGGGATTCAGAATTTGACGCGATTCGTATTTTCTTTTGTTTTGTTGATAAGTCAACGTCCTCATATTCGTGATTTTACATCATCGATCAATTAACGGTAATTGTGTGACAAATGCTTTCGATAAATTGTTATTGTTCCTGAATACGCTCGATTATATTAAACGAAATTCGTAACCAATCGCGATTAATATTGTTTACAATATCGTTGTAACGATTATCCGTTTACAACAGCGAAATCGGATACCATCAATGTATATACGCAACGTCACTACCGTATTGTCAAAAGTAACTTTTTTTTTCATAGACAAAATTTCAATATACTTCGCGTTCAATTTTCATCGAATCGGATTACATCTTCGAAATTCGCGATCCGATTAAAAATAATCCAACGAAATTCGACGTTCTCAGATTCTCAGACTCGAAATACAAATTATCCTACCTACGTAAACGATTAAAAAAAAAAAAATAAAATAAAAGAGTTTACACGAATATCAAAGAAGCCAAAATTACCCGAAAAATTACTCACCGAAGATTGATCGCGCAACGATCTAAATTAAAAATATCGCACACCCAATAAAAACAACAACAACAACAATAATAATAAAATAGATTGAGACGAAAAACGGAGTCAACAAAGTATCGCGCGCGCGCGCGCGCGTCAACCTCGGCCGAATGATATCTGTTGCGTCGCGACGACACGTCTATTTTTGTCGGCGGCATCACGAGTCGGTGGTGGCGACGTCGGTGGTGGTTGTGGTGGTGGTAGCGGTGATGGTGGTGGTAGCGACGTCGCTGCGTCGCCAGCGAAGGGGCGCGCGACGTTGTGCACCGTCATCGGTAGTAATAGTAGTAGTAGTAGTAGTAGTAGTAGTAATAGTAGTAGTAGTAGTAGTAGTAGTAGTCGAGGAAAAGGGGGTATGTCGGCGTCACGAGGGCGGCCCGAAGCGCAACAAGTAGTCTACCCCCACCGTTTCCCTCTTTATAAATTTTCCCCCTCGCCATTTACCCCCACCCTCGGGAGGGAGGGTTGCATGGCCGCGCGCAGCCGACGTCGCGACGCCACCACCGTCTGCTCGATTTAAGCTGCGCCTGCAATCCGCGTCAATACGCACCGCGGCTGGTAGTCGCGAGAGTGCAGGCGACGGGCGAGCTCGTATGATTTTTTGCTTATGGGGAATTGGATTTCGTTGTACGATTCTTTTTTTTTTTTTTTTTTTTTTTTAAAGAAGACTCTTTGAAAGAATGATTCTCTCGATCCGTGAATCGATGAAATATGGGAAAATTGAAAATTAAAATGTTTACGAAATTTATTTTATCGATCGATAATCGTTTTATTTCCGTCGAACGAGCGTCGAATGAATTATTTAAGGGGATTAGAAGAGAATGGGGATGGGGAGGAGATCGGGGTTTCGTTAAAATCAATGATGGGCGGTTGAAGGAATATTTGTGGGGATGTAAAATCTACGTTACCCTATATTTTATTATCGCAAAGGGAAAAAAAGGAATTGTGATATTGCCTGTATAAATCTTCCGCCCAACGAGATATTCGCTCTGAAGAGACTGTTCGCGTTTCTGTTGCTAGTCTAAGACCTCTGCAGGTGGTCTTGGATCCTTTTTACGCGCTAATAGATTTATTTTATTGATCCATTGCGGGGACTACTCGAAGCGAAATACTCACTTTACGAGCGTGGAATTTTTAAAAAATTTTTAAACAACTTCGTCATTCGGTTCGAAACGTATACGAGATAAATGGACAAATAACGATTCTCGTGAGTTTTTTTTTTTTTTTTTTTAGAAAAGAATTCGCATTGAAATAATTGAAATAATGATAATAAAACGTAGCACGTTTTTTTCGTCTCGTTTTCAAATTCTCGAAATAACCGATGTTTCGTTTCGATACCCGAATCAACGTTCGAAAATTAATGGTTTTTACTTTATCGCGTGTTCAACATATTTTTATTTTTATTTGTTTTACACGTTGCTTTAATCCATTATTTACGAGATATACGTAAAAAAAGAATATAATCAATTTTCAACGACATTAAACAAATCTTGTGCTTTCTCGAAATGTTCCGCTATGTCCTATTGTAGACGTCTCGTTCGAACAGATCTTATCTTGCTTGTTTCCCTCAAACGTCGTCTCCTCGTCCCGATCGCGTATGGAGGCGCGTCTGTCCTTCGTAAATCACGCGAGCTACCGCGCGCATTTGCATCTCAATGCGAACGATGCCTTCTCCTTTTCGACCCTTTCTCCTTCCTATCTTCCGTGTTTTTCTCCACCACCACCATCTCGATTTCACCTCCCTTTCTTCTATCTCCATTTTGTCCATTCTTTATCCTTATTTCTTGATGTATTCCTTTCGTTACTCCTCGTTCTTTCATCGACTCGCAGATTTTCGCCGTTTAAGGTTCGTATCGTCGCGAGTTTCGAAAAAAAAAAAAAAATTTTTGCAGAAAAGATTATTAAGTTTTTTAATTAAATTTTTGCATTACATTGTATTATCGATCGAAGTCTGTAAGTAAAATATAATCTTCTTTACGACGCTTTGAGAAAGTTTTAAATAAATTTTATACATATTAACAGCACTTCGAGAAATAAGTTAATTCCAAGAATATCTATTTAAATCCGTTATTATTTATAAATCTAAAATACAATGGAAAAATATATTCTGATCAATTTTTAAATATTCAAAATTAAAAGAAAAGAGAAAAAAGGAAGTGAAAATCCTTTCTTGAATTTTGTATTATCGATCGAAATCTAATAAAATTTAATCCAATACCTCCTGTTAAATATAGCTTTCTGAGAAAGTTTTAAATAAATCTTACACTTCTCCTTTATACATACTTATTACGTATTAGCATTTCGAATATCTATCATTGAATCCATTGTTATTTTAAAATCTATAATATAACTGGAAAAATATATTCCGTTCAACTTCGATCTATCCTCAATTACCGCATACAGATATCGTTATAAATTTTCAAAATTGAAAAAAAAAAAGAGAGAAAAAGAAAAAGGAAGCGAAAATGCTTCCTTGAATTTTTAAGCAGATTTTCGAACCTATCGAAGACAGGCAATTTGTATGCGCTCGGTCAAAGCGCCCGCACGCGTCCACTCGACACGTTGAAAATTTCAAAACAACGATATCGCCTCTCGAAGAATGTTATCTCTCGTCGAATTTACATATACATATACATTTCCTCGTGGCACCCAAGAAACTAACCGTTTTCCCCCCTTTTACCTTTTTCCGGGTCAGGTTCGGTGGGCATAGGCCAGGAATCGGCCCAGGCCCATTTATCACGGCGGAAAAAGGTGCCGAAACGACGCGTTGTCTTTCTGTAACGTTGTTCTATTTACGTTCGTGCAACGTTTCCTTGTTCGATGACCCCTTCCTCGAGAGCGAGAAACGTTCGTATCCTTATCGAGTTCGATGCGTTGAACGTTCAAACGTGATAAAACGCAGCGGGGATATGTAAATAAAAAAAAAAAAAAAAAAAAAAAATTAATGAAACGTTATCGAAGTTGTAACGCGCGGAATTTAAATGATTTAATTTGGGTCACAGTTGGAGATTCCGCCGGAGTGTGGTGTTCACGTGTAATTTCACGGTGGAAACGAGTTTTTTTTTTTCTTTTTCTTTTTNTTTTTTTTTTTTTTTTTTTTTTTTTTTTTTTTTGAGAAAGCGAAGAGGATTCCGTTGGAGAATCGATCAAAAGAAATTATGTATCCTGCTTGAAATTCTGTTAAATATTAATATAGAGAAATAATTAACCCGGGAATAATTATAGATACGTATGTCCCTTGTTAGTATAGTCTCTCCTATATAATCTTCCGATCCACGTTTCTTCCTGTTTTGATGAATAACATTTACGTAATTACGCGATATTATTCTATATTTATTCCGGAATTTTTTCTGGAATTTAAATTTTTTTATGGAAAAGAAGAAAAGATACGAATAAACTATTAATACAATGCAAAAATAATTAATAATTTTCAAATCGACTAGATAGAATTATATTACTGAAAATTGAGAAAAGAAAAAAAAAATGGAACGTATCAAACAATTAGTATTACGCAAATTCTTTTTAACGCGTTCACACGTTTCCCAATTAGATGATCATCAAACAACGTGCATCAATTGTAACCTCTTCTATCAAATCCTATGCGTGCGATTGGTATTTTATTCTCGAACAATCCAAACGAGAAGTTACGAAATAAGGAGAGTTGGACGTTTTCCCTGCTCGGGGATCCCCTCCCCTCCCCCTCTTCTCCCTCCCCTTTCCCCTCCACCGCCGCTCTCTTGGAACGTTTCCAACCACCGCCCGTCGTCGTCGCGTCGGTATATCCAAGTACGAGTGTTTTCCACGTCGGCCGTGTTAATAAGCGGACACTCGAGTATTACCGGAAATTGAGCGTGCGCGCATGCGCCTCCCGTTCGGGTTCAAAGGTTACGTAAACGTTCGATCGTGTACGCGTTTCGAACGCACGCGACACGCATGCGGTGTCATTGATACTATATTTAGAAATAGCGTTATTTTCCTTCGATTTTTTTTTATTTTTATTTTTATTTTTATCACACTTTGTTCTTCTGTCGTGTCTCCTCCTTTCTTTGCGAAGAAGTAGTTTTTATTTATTTATTTATGTTTCTTTTTTTTTATGAGGAAATTTAAAACGACGAACAATTTTTTTTTTTTTTTTTTTTTTTTCTTCAGTTAGAAGCGTTACATTTGTTCGTCGTCGTTTGAATTCAAATAAAGTTTTTGCAAGCGTTACGGATAGAAAAGAAACGCAATAAGTTTTTTTTATAAGTTCGGTCGATAACAGATACGAAGAATTAACGCATAAATTTTTATCAAGTGTGTCAAGTTATTGTTTCTTGCTAGAAGAATTTATAAATAGTAGTACGAAGTAATATATTAT